AATTCTTCAAGGTTAGTCTGCACTTCAAGTCTATTTGAAATTTTTAAGGAAATTCTCTTTTTTCTGGCAAACCATATCTCTTTTCAATATTTTATTTATCTTAACTACTTCGTAATCTTAAATAAAGTTCCATTTATTCTGGGCCGTATAAGGTGATGAAGAACTCATATTTGAATTTTCATACCATGATATGGCATCTTGTTTCCATTGAAATTTGCTCAGCCTTGCTTCCTAAAAGGTACTCCCATCTAGGGTGGACTGCAATTTTGACTTTGCTTGGGTCTTATTAACACTTCCGGCAGGAATCGAACCCAGAAAGTGCATCGTATGATCTCAGCATATTACCATCAAGGATTACCACGATACAAGCAAGACCTTATTTTTTCGTTGAATTTCACTCCTTCATGAAACCCCTAAGGCTATTCTCATTAAGGCTGGTCTGCAATTTCGACCTCGTTGCATCATCTTATCAGCTTTTCCAATGGGATTTTACTCTTGGATATGCTTTGCCAATTTAAACTGATTCAATGCTTCTTTCCAAATGGCAATATCTCAGCATTCAACTAACAACCACGAATTTCAATAGATTAGGCGGAAAATGTGACTTTAAAGTCAAGATAGGTCTATTCATGTTTACATTTATCGTTAGCTTATTATCGATATTGCCATCTTCGAAACTAGTTTTCAAAACTCAATATATCCTTATTATTATTAAAGATTTACTCATCTTTTCTAGACCAGAACAGTAATGTTGTCTATTGTAATAGCAAATATAAGGTTGACCTATCGACAACAATACCGCTATGAATGTGACCTAGTATAGGGCTTGCTTGTTTTGAAAAACACATTTGTCCACTAGCATTTATTGTTGCATTGCCAACTAGTAAAGTGTCGTTATTTTATGTGAACGACCTGGCTTCGTGTTCTTTTAGGGGTGCTGATGATATTTACTTAAAATTGAAGAGGCAGTCCATCCCGGAGGAGAACAAGATTTATGATGTAATCCTAAGCAAAATTCCATGACATTGTTGCAAATTAAACTATCAGCTCCTACATCTCCCTTTACGATGCGATTCGTTTGCTCACGCATTAAA